AAGCTCGAGTAATGCGCCTATCTGATGAGCCCCAAGAAGGGCGAAACCGGTTGTGGGCTGTCGAAGAGGTTTCAGCAACCTTGTGAGTAGTTTTCTTTATGAGTTATTTTTATTCCAAGGGTAATGCTGATATCTGAGACCGCATTGTGCCTCTTTAAACAGCCACTGAAATTTAGCTTGAGTGCGAGAACTTGAAATACAAAGCTTTCCCTTAGTGAGCTCAGCTGGCGTTCAGTCCAGGTGATTCACTACTGAACGAAAGTAGGGAACAATTTCTAGTGTCTCAGACATCTTCATGTTAAGATATCACAAATAATCTCAAACAAATTCAGTTTTACCATAGCTCTTGGCACCTCTAGAGGCGAATTTTCGGCCCACAAACGCGCAGAGGATATTCACGGGGAAATCTATAGTCCAAGCGGACAGTGTCTCCTCATGGGTTAACAGAGCGTTCGCAAGCTGAATGCCAAGCTCAGTGGACAGATCAACCGCTGCCCGATTATTAGTTAGCCTTAGCAATATCGGTGACCCAGGTTCGAAACCATAAGCATTCTATTTACAACAGTATTTTGTACACTGTATCTGATGTCAAAATGCCACCGAAAACTTTCCGCCCAGATGTGCTGAGGGAGCATAAATAAATGTCAATGAATCTGCCCGGCCTGTTAATCCACCATCAAGCATGTCCAAATCAAAGCGCCTTAGAAATGATATGAATTTCTTAAGATGGCCTGATGGCAGCATTGAAGAGTCTCAAGGCATATTGGTGATGAATCGAGTGATTGAAAGAAACTTGGGATCCCACCACCTGACTCCAAGTTGTTCGCGACTCTTCTCGATCCGTTTTAAGGTTTCCGTCAAATCATTTTTTTAAACTTATCACGACAGTTTATGAAGACGACGATACCACATTAATAATTTGAAGTCGTTGAGGAATTTTCGGTATTCTAGATCCATGGTCTTGTAGTAAGTATTGTGTATGAATGTATTGTCCCATTATTAGAATGTAGACATCAAAAAAGTTAGTCTTTGGATATGTTTGCATACCGCTAGTTTCTTGATGGTCTTCTTATTTTGTATGACACATTTACCAGTTCACATAGCCTAGTCGCTCAGGAGAGGTGGCACATCACTCGTTTGGAAAGTCCTCCTCCTGTCCTAGTGTAATCCTACTTGTTAGTTCACACCTCACGCTGATGGAGAACTGATAACACGCTTGCCTCGCATTTCAGATGTACCGAGATGAAACCCCGGCACGGCTAAAGATTTGCACTCCTCAGGAGCTCCAATAAGAGAGTAACTAAAATCTAGAGCTTTCCAAACGACAGTGGGCAAACGAGAGTGATGTGGGTGAGCATACTGCAAATCCAGCAGTGACACTCAACCTTCATATATGCTCACAACTGTATCACAATATATGGTCCACTTAACAGGTAATCCCGCTGGGTGTGGAAATCAAAATCAATAATTTAAATGGATGATAGACATATGCTGCCACGTGTGGTAGTTTTATTTCCTCCATGAAGTGCATCTGACATTATTTCCTGCGATCCCCATTTTGATCCGAAGTGCTAACGACAAAACAGTTTTTCCACCTAGGAGGATTTGCACTCATGTCTTCCATAAATGTTCTTCCCCGTCGTATCAGCACAGATCACGGTTAGTGAGGTGAGATTTGTTTAGGTGAACATATTGGCAACTCTTTCCAATGAAAACCGAGGATTTCCATGGATTTGAACCGTGTTCGGAGATTGATTCCTCAGGTCGAGTAATTATCCCCTGATTTTCTGAACATGACAGATGAAACTTTGACTCCTGCTCAAATTCCTACAATTACTGCGCCCAATCAATTGCTCGTATCACTTACAATGACCAACAAAATCTTGCAACGCACACTAATCAGTTGGTTATCAGAGGTGTGCCTTGCAGTCTGTCTTCGTCACCGTCAATCAAACTTGAATTATCTCATAATAAAAGTACTTAGCGTGGTAAGGTCTTCAGTCCAGAAATAGAAATTTACGGTCAATTAGATCCTCATTGTTTCAAGACTTTTCTGAAACGGTAGCCCTGGGTTTCACTGGGGCATGGTTGGTACACACCAATATCCCGGGTAACAGGGTATTAAAACGAGTGCATGGATTTGAACCGTGTTCGGAGATTGATTCCTCAGGTCGAGTAATTATCCCCTGATTTTCTGAACATGACAGATGAAACTTTGACTCCTGCTCAAATTCCTACAATTACTGCGCCCAATCAATTGCTCGTATCACTTACAATGACCAACAAAATCTTGCAACGCACACTAATCAGTTGGTTATCAGAGGTGTGCCTTGCAGTTTGTCTTCTTCGTTCACCGTCAAACTTGAATTATCTCATAATAAAAGTACTTAGCGTGGTAAGGTCTTCAGTCCAGAGATAGAAATATACGGTCAATTAGATCCTCATTGTTTCAAGACTTTTCTGAAACGGTAGCCCTGGGTTTCACTGGGGCATGGTTGGTACACACCAATATCCCGGGTAACAGGGTATTAAAACGAGTGATTCCCTACTCGTGAGCCACTCAACAACACCACGTGTTGTACTATTGCTACCAATATGTTTATGGTAATGAATAATAGCACTTTGAGACAGGATGTAGGCAAGTTGGTGCATCCCAAAATCTATGGACGTCGAACATGATCTCAAATCTGCTTGAATCCATTTCTTGTCGGGGCGTATCTGACAATACCTGCTGCGTGATTTATTGGGTTAACTTATCAGTATTTCGGGACATCAACATGTTCAATGCATTTTAATACCACTTGGTAAATTGCGGTTTTCCAGCTAAAGCCTATGTGATAAAGCGTCATGTATTCGTTATTCCAATCCTGGAAATCGTCTTATAAACTCTATTTTCCATTTAGTTTGTTTTGTTTTTGTGTGTCACACAATGCTGCTTCGTTTCGTGCTTGCCTTTAGTGTAACCGCACGGCCCATTTATAAATAAATCCTCTTGATCACTAACCTAAGAAGACATACAGGGATTAACTCGCAGTGCACATGGTATTCCGCAGTTCAAGTATACGAACATTCGTATGCATTTGAAGAGGTAGGGTGACCTAGTAGCAGCAAATGACTCGTCCCTCTTTCCTATGTGCGATTCGCCCATCCGTTGGTAATAATCAAAATCATGTATATCAATAAAAACACTCAGAAGCTAGCTGGAAACCTTTAAAGTGAATAACTGATGTAAGAGTGCGGAAAACTTACATGAGGTTTCGAATCACCTAGGGAGGCAGGCGGAGACATTTCCGACGTGTTCGACTGACTTCTATGAGAACAAATGGTGCTCCATAATTTCTTGTCTGCCGTGAATGCCATCAGTACCATCATGGGGAAAAATAGAAATGTTAGACCGGCTTCCCACAGCTCAATTTCGTTCGGACTTATAAAGACAGTAATTAAAAGCATCCATGCATAAGCAAACAGAGAGCAAAAGCTGGTGAGAATGAACACGCCAAATTTTTCAATTCTCTTTGTTTGTGGAGAGGTGACTGACACGATACATATTCCAGATATTGCAAAGAGATTGAATGCGGCTGATCCAAGTATGGTGAACAGTCCCAAACTATCCGGAGGTTCTTTTGGTGGCGAAACGATTGCTTTCACAGACTCAATACATGCCAGGAGGATTTCAGGCGCCGAAGACCCGAGTGCCATCAGCGTCAAGTTAGCAACTGTTTCATTCCAAACAAACACGCTACACTCCTTTAGAGTACCTGTGGAATCATCATAAATACGGATAAGGCGTTTCTCTGACGTAATTCTCTCAATAGAAAACATGAAAATATCGGACATTACAGCGATTCCGACAAAAAGGTACAGTAGTCCTGTCACATATAACATAATCCGAAGCCATTGAGGCCATGCATTGTCAGCTGGTAGGGAAAGCCATCCAACACAATAAGGAAGATCATCCTGTAACGATAGTGTGAATCGTACGCGACCGTAGACCTCTGACAGATTGCGCATTTTATTATATTCTTGAATAGAGAGCCTTTGGCTTTCATTCACAATGTCTGTCTGAGTGAATCCGGTCACCTTAATTATACGGTGCTGAGAACGCACACGGATATCAATGTCATTTGCCTGGACTGAGCTGGGCCGCACAGGATAAATGTTGGTAGTACAAAATGCCCCATACGTGGGTGTTTCATTTAGCTCTCGAAGTTGAATTTAATGGATAAAAATGAAAACAGACGAGTTCACGCCCTTTAACCGGGGACTTCATTTATTTTCTACAACTTGATCGTGCGCCGCACTGAAGCAACCGATGTCTTATTGTATGTACTGAACACGGATGGTTGGGTGTTTCAGTGGCATATGAGGTGAAAATGTAGATGGAACTCGAAAGGATTATCAACTAAAAACGACCGGCTATATACACAACTGATGTATCAAAACCGGATCCAGTGTGTTAATATACTAACATTGTGCTTCATTTAACTATCGTATCCCCACAGACAAGTGCTTGTAAACAATGGACAGAATGTTAAAGGTCCCTCAGACATTTGACCTTTTTTGTCCATTTGCGCTAGCAGTTAAGTTTGTTTTTTTCCACCAACATCGATTTAGAACATTCCGCCGCTTTTAAAATGCGATTGTTGCGCCAATCTTAGTAATGTTGCGAGCTAGCTGCTTGTGACTCCATCCCAATTCTGATTGGTTGCATTAGGGCGAGCGCGTGTTCAAAATACTGGCAAGCTGTGGTCAAGCCTTGACTGATTTTGTGACTCTTTTGTGTTTGTTCCACACAACGCACCGAAAAGTGTTACGAGTAACGAGGAAGAACACCAGTCACACAAATCCAAGCTTGGAGGTGTGGTTCCACGAGAACCAACTGAATTTTCAGGATGTGTTTAGGGGAAACCAAACCGTCATTTTATAGACTTTATACAGTGATTGACTGGGAGCAAAATTAATCAGAAATTTCACTAAACGCACCGACTAGTCATCGTCACCTGTCAATCAGAAGCGAAAGCCCATACAGGATTCCAGAGGCTCCGCCTTTCTGTCAGCCAATCACACTGGCGCAGACGTCAATAAGCACACTCCCAACCATGTCTGCTCCCGACGTGCTGAAGGCTGCGTCCACGGAGCCAGATCCTGTGAAGCGGATGAATATATACCAGAATATAGGTGAGTCTATAGTAACAAGCTAATTGCTCATTTCCAGTCAGGACAGAGGTCTCTGATCCAGATGAGGTCGCAATAAAAGCCAAGGAACAAGCCATACTTGAACTCGGAAATATGATGGCAAAAAGCTCAGACGCAAAAGGTTAGTTTGGATGAGAACACCACATGCATAGATTTTTGATAACGTTCCATCTGCGTCCTCGTCTATTGTCCTGTGGGACTAGCATCTCTCCATGTCGTGTATTTTATTGCCTTTGGTTTCACAGTAGCGTGTTGCGCGGCCAACACCATTTATGGAGGTGGAGGGTTCATCGAAATTAGTTTTTTCTCCAAATTTAGCCCGTCGACATATTTTCTAGATGCCACCCCACAACCCTTTGTTACGGAGTGGAATTTAGGTAAAGTAGTGATCCCATCTGCGACTGGAGTGCTGAGTTAGTAGTGTCTCTCCCAGGCGACTGGTGTGCCCATGTTTATGAATGCATCAATTCTGCCATCCAGCAAAAAAGTACCGGCTTGAAAGATACAGTCCTATGAATGCGCACTGCGATCGCCCAAATATTGATCCTGACCGCCGGTGCGTTATTAAACATAGTCGGTTCTGTTCCAATGACGCGTGCCGCGCGCACGCATCAGAAATTTGAGTTTGACTTTACTTCCTGAGCCCTCCAGCCAGACCAACCCCCCGGATGTCCTTCAAGGAAACCCTAATGATCGTGGTTCAGATTTCCGTGCCGGGAGCATGACGAGAGGTCCCAGAATAAAACATTACTCCCTCTAACTACTCTGTGCGTTGAACTTTTGAGTCATATGCCCAATGTGGGATACCTTAGCCAAACCCCCTTATATCTAGGTGAGCAGAAACATCATTTGACCCTACATCTCTTCATTCACTGACTCCATCTCGCTCGATTCTTTACAATTCAGTTGGCTTTCAATCGCCTAACCGGTGCTGCTCCATAGAAATCTTGCTAAATTCGAGGGACCTGTTCCAAATTTGTGCCACCAACATCCGTACTCTATGTTAACTCGGGAAACAGGTAGCTATTGCTCAGACCTTATTCTATTGACGTGTGTGTTTGGACTCCACACATGTCTATAAAACCCTAGTTCGCTCGTACTCCCAAAACCATTCGGGGAAATTCAGATTTCTCGAACTTTACTCTCCTGGTTTCTGGTGATTCTGACGCAATAGCTAGTGGTATCTACGGTCCAGGAGTTGTGTTTAGCCCCAGATTTGAGTTTTTTACTGTATTGGATTCCGTTATACAGTCGGCTTTGCGCGGTGAGATTGAATGTGTCAGTCAATGTCAGTGCAGTGTGATGCACTGACTCCAAAGAAGCATGATGGTCTCTGGCTCCTTAGGGGTTGCATTTACCAACGATTTGATCTCCAGATGCCAGAACAACGCTACATGTATAAACGCCCACAATTTTAGTACTCGTGTATTTTCCAGGTGCATACAACTCATTTGACCGGTCTGTTCCAAACAAACATGTAGCACCCTTTCGGCGTCTAGCTGCCATGCCACCAAGGGGGAGCAAGAGGGCTGGTATATTACCAGGTTGCACATGTCTAGACAGAGGAAGTAGAGAGGCGGAGGTCGGGTTTAAACCACGGACCTAACGGTCAGTAAATTCGCGCTCTGCACTGACGACTTCACTCCGAGACATTTCAATGACGACATAGCGGAGAAAGAATCCTCGTTCTCCCGAACGTACGAACCCCCATGTGCTTCCTACTACACGAGTGAGGTGAATGACCTGTCCTTTGTATATACGGCAGCCTATGGCTGCCTAGGTTGGGAAGCTACTGGGTCCTAGTCTATTCCAAATAACGAAGCTTTTAAACGCGTTGTCTGATAATTTCCTGGCCCTACATGTTGGGGGTTCAAACAAGTCTTACAACCCATTTCCCTATAAGTCCGAGTACCTCGGTATTCTACCTACCGTCACTGTCGTATGTAAGATTTCTTAGCCAAACCTGGCCGACAACCCCAATCGGCTTTTGGGGGTGTCCCAGCCAACGTTCAACTTTGGGTTACATCGACAGAGATACCTTCATGCCACGTCAACCTATGTGTGGTGACTTTAACTGGGTCGCGATATTCCCTGCATACGGCAGGTCGGATGGGCGGAAACGAGCGATTTCCAATGTCTCCGATCTACCAGCAAGCAATCGTCTGTGCACCCTTGGTGTGTGTACTTCCTTGAAGACTCGTACTAGTCGGATTATCAGCCGTCCCTTGTATATTGTTTCTGCCTATGCACCGACTGAAGTTTTAGAACTGCGAAAAATTGATCGAATACTAACCGCTCACCCGCCACGATGATTCCATATATTGTCCTAATTGCTGGAGATCTCTGCGCCCATGTAAGACGCCCTAGCCCATCCGTCGCACAACTTGGTAGCATTTTTAATTTTGGTGCAAGGTGTAATGACAGTGGTGGATATGTGCCAGAAATGTACACTGACCACCAATTTTTCCTCACCATTACTGGGTTCAAATCCCGTTATGCTACTCAGCCTCCGTACCATACAACAACCATGAGCCAGACCAACTTCATAGTCGTGTGCTACCGGTGGCAACAATCTACACTTGACCGTCACTCACTCTGAAAAACACGTCGATTTAGACCATGCTGTCCTCCGGTGTAGGTTTTCATTGAATTTCCATGGTAAACTTAAGAAGCAGCTCTCCTGATTAGCCTTCACAAAGCCACTTTAGGCAAGAATTAAAAAGGCGCATCAACTTCTTTGACGTTTTGAAAGTGGATTCTTGAGAAGACGTCCGTAAGTGGTCAGGGATCGCTATACGTACGACCGGAAATTCGGCATGTGTTGTTTCTGGCCACTAACGGTCTCTGTCACTTCTTGATACAAGACGTACGCTATCCGAACCGCAGCATAATTCGGTTGGATGGTTCGTCACACGTCACTTCAGTCGAAATCTGTGTTTAGATAAGGAGGCATCCTGGAACCAGGAAGCTCAGGAAATTGAAGGGCGCAAATGAAAGCAAAACTTTTCCTAGGTCAAACTTTCGCTTTTTTTAAATTTTTCAGGTTTATTCTTACGCCCTTGACTAAGCTCCCGGTGGACAGTCGACAGTCTACTTTCCTTGTCATCATCACCACCAACTGTGCATGACATCAGTGTTTAACACTAATACTTCGCTCCATACAACCGTAATTTATTTGAAAGCCTCATTGTAAAGAAAAGAATAAAAGTAGATGGGGACGGGACTTAGTGTTATCGTACCACATTCATTCCGAGGTGCCTACATCTCCCTACACTCATTCAGGCAATCTGGATAGAAACTGACAACTGGAACGCCAGTGACATCGAGTAGCAGCCACGTCTAGCAACGTCTCCGACCAGGCGCAGTGGAGATCAGGTGGTGCACCGACAATACCCAAACGTTTCGTAATTTCTTTCGTACGCCTCTGATAGGTCAATTGTTAACCACCTTGCTTCCCCGTGTCCTCCTGTAGGAATTACTTTTTAAATGTAGGAATTCACCAATGCGGTAGGATGTAGTTGAACCCTTTGTTGATGAATAAACTGCGTGTGAAACCGCGAAACTTTTTTCTAAAGATTTTATTTCGGTCGACAATGCCTTGGGCTGAAGCCCAACACATTTGAACATACTGCCAGGTACTTACGGTAGGAATGGACTCTCACTTTAGAGGGGTATCTCTGGTCAGGATTACTTTGCGTGTTCACTATTCTGCCTGCACTTATCGTATCATAGTCCCATCTTGCAAAAATTCGGCTTATTTAGCACAATATGATATATTTTATGTAGTGGTGCTTTTCCGTTTGCCCCCCCCCCTTAAGACAGCAATACATATGGTTGCCTAAGACCTAGTGGTTTGTCCACTTTTAACGTACACATGTCAACCACGTAGATAAATTCTGGGTAGTTGGACGTTTGCTCCGAATAAGCCAGCCGAAATCGCACACCGCTTCTAAGGAAACCTTGCTTTATCCGTAAGTTTGTGCAGTGAAATTCTGTGACTGAAAATCGATCATCCTTCAAAGGCTCATCGGGCATCAACGCACATATCAAAGTCTACGAGGTGTCCACATCAGGACACCTTCCAACATCCAGGAATGGGTGGCGAAACCCAATTTTTGAAGAATTTGATGGGAGAGAAAAAGTGACAAGTCATGAACACAAGTTGGCTTAGGATACAAGTAAAATGCAATTTTACAAGTTCTTGATCCAAAGGGCTAGAAATGATGACTAATATCTAAGATCTTGAGGAAGTGGAATTAGAAAATCCATCTTTCGTGGAAGCTGTTAGAACCCATGTTACACTGATCAGATTTCGTCGGTCGGGGAAGACGTAATAGAGATCCGCATGACTCCGTCTAAATATAATCCAAAAAAATCATGTACAACCGTCTCAAGCATGACAGTGCGAAGTCAAAGTGCTCGAAATGGAGAACCGATCTACCTGGAGGCCACAGAAGTTGGTACGGGAAGTCCTGAAGCGTAGAAAATGGGTCGAATGATTTTACACTCGATATACCCCATTTGCTAACCTAAGCACCTTTGTATACGTTATTCTGTGTTTGGTTCCCGTGAGCCTAATATATGTGCCTTCACACATTATTTTCCCTCTTCATGCAGGGCTGGCTGATCTGATTGTTCTGACCCGACCTTTCTTGAAACAAATCAGCAAAGCAAAAGCCGGTCGGTTGGTGCGTACTTTGGTGGACCTATTTCTCAACCTCGAAGCGGGCACGGGACGTGAAATAGACCTCTGTCGTGAATGCATTCAATGGGCGAATGAAGAACGGCGGGTATTTTTGCGTCAGGCTCTGGAAACTCGTTTAATAGGACTCTATTATGAGAATGGACACTATGAAGAAGCGCTCAAACTAGGTATGTTTACTGCTTTGCCGTGCTTGTGCTTATCCATCTTCATTTTCCTCATTAGTTACCCGAGTTGACTTTATGTCTTATATCTGTACACCCGCTTTTTCGTAGTCGATGTGATTAGGCCATTCACTTTACCATTTGTGAGGGACAGACTTTTCCATATAGTTTGAGTAGGCACTCTAGCTTCTGACATATAAATGATGCTGTGTGTAGCAGCCATTCTCTAGTACCCTATGAAACATGATTCAAGAACTCCATTTTCAAACCATGGTCACTATTCATTTTAACCCACGGCATCTTTCCAGGCAGCACTTTACTAAGAGAACTTAAAAAACTGGACGACAAAGTTTTGCTGGTCGAGGTTCAGTTAATGGAGAGCCAAGTCTACTATCGTCTAGGAAATTTACAGCGGTCCCGGGCGGCTCTTACCTCCGCACGCACCACTGCCAATGGAATCTACTGTCCGCCAAGGCTTCAAGCATCATTGGACCTACTGTCCGGTTAGTGCCTAGTTTATACAGTTTATATATAGTTTGTATATATAAACATAGTTTATATAATTTATGTAGTACCTTGTGATCTTTCAACTATAAACACCTGGATACTCATCATACCCCACATCAAAAACGTATAATCCATAATCCCCACCAACAAACCCTTGGCCCTTAGAAGCAGCCGCTTTTCCAAAACCATCCCGTAATCCCGCAAATGAATTTCACATATTCCTACACCACACAAACAACCAAGTAGTCAACCACAACATCCCCAAAATTCACCTCAGATAACACACAAGTATTCCACCCCGTCAAATCTCAGAGAATTTGCGATCAAGATGGTGTGTCAGTGCTACTGCGGCTGCTTTTTTTTGATAGTGTATGTATTTCCCTGGTATGTGCGCGTTCGGTGTTTCTGTCTGTCTCTAGTTTGTTTCGTGCTGTCGGGTATCGCCGGTTCCGATTCACTGGACCAGCCGGATCCCGGATAGCGATTGGGCTTGTGTGGCACTCTCGTTCTGTGATCCCGGTAAACTGAGTAGGCGTGTCGCACCAGCCCACCTACCTGTCGGTAGGACGGTCTTGATGACCACGCACAGTTGTTTTAGACTTGATGCGAGCTATTAATGGACGGTGATCCGAATTCCTTGATAAGTTCTGCTACCTCAAATGGTTGCATTTGGCCCCTTGTAGGATAGCACGTGCTTGTATTGGTCGAGTACATTTTGTCTGTCTACACTAGGATCTTGATTATGATGAACGAACGGTGTGGACTGGTGTCGGCAATTGGGCACCGTCTTCTTTGACGGCGTTTACTAGACGCATATTTCGGTCACTTTCCTCTCCGGCTTTGGATGCGAATGAGCCTATTTTTGTTCTACTATTGCATGGGCATTGTTCTTATGATACTGAAGGATTTGACTATCGGTGCTCTTGCGAATTGTTTGCTGTTTGGCGTCACGTTTGTTATCGCTAATTCTGTGGTTCCGGCAAACTGACTGAGTATGTCGCACTAGCCCAGCTACGTCGGTTGGTTAGGCTGATGTTGGAGATCATGTGCAATGTTTGTCATGGTTGGACCTTCGAATTGACTAGCTGCCTGCGGTGTCTGGTTGTTGTTTTGCGTGTTCCTTACTGTTGGCCCCGATGCGTATGCTGGGCCGTCGCCGTCCGAATGGCCAATGCATCTGTTAGTGAGTGTGTTTTTGTTTTGTTTCTATACTGAACAAGATCTGATGGTTTTGTGGAATTCGGTGGATATTACTGCCGATGTTTTGTCACCCCGTGGGTTGGATGTCGTTTGCTCGCTGATCGAACATGTCAATCCCACCTGTCGCCCCTACTATCTCATTCCCCCCGGTATCGCCGGTTCCGATTCACTGGACCAGCCGGATCCCGGATACCGATTGGGCTTGTGTGGCACTCTCGTTCTGTGATCCCGGTAAACTGAGTAGGCGTGTCGCACCAGCCCACCTACCTGTCGGTAGGACGGTCTTGATGACCACGCACAGTTGTTTTAGACTTGATGCGAGCTATTAATGGACGGTGATCCGAATTCCTTGATAAGTTCTGCTACCTCAAATGGTTGTATTTGGGCCCTTGTAGGATAGCACGTGCTTGTATTGATCGAGTACATTTTGTCTGTCTACACTGGGATCTTGATTATGATGAACGAACGGTGTGGACTGGTGTCGGCAATTGGGCACCGTCTTCTTTGACGGCGTTTACTAGACGCATATTTCGGTCACTTTCCTCTCCGGCTTTGGATGCAAATGAGCCTATTTTTGTTCTACTATTGCATGGGCATTGTTCTTATGATACTGAAGGATTTGACTATCGGTGCTCTTGCGAATTGTTTGCTGTTTGGCGTCACGTTTGTTATCGCTAATTCTGTGGTTCCGGCAAACTGACGGAGTATGTCGCACTAGCCCAGCTACGTCGGTTGGTTAGGCTGATGTTGGAGATCATGTGCAATGTTTGTCATGGTTGGACCTTCGAATTGACTAGCTGCCTGCGGTGTCTGGTTGTTGTTTAGCGTGTTCCTTACTGTTGGCCCCGATGCGTATGCTGGGCCGTCGCCGTCCGAATGGCCAATGCATCTGTTAGTGAGTGTGTTTTTGTTTTGTTTCTATACTGAACAAGATCTGATGGTTTTGTGGAATTCGGTGGATATTACTGCCGATGTTTTGTCACCCCGTGGGTTGGATGTCGTTTGCTCGCTGATCGAACATGTCAATCCCACCCGTCGCCCTACTATCTCATTCGCCCCGGTATCGCCGGTTCCGATTCACTGGACCAGCCGGATCCCGGATACCGATTGGGCTTGTGTGGCACTCTCGTTCTGTGATCCCGGTAAACTGAGTAGGCGTGTCGCACCAGCCCACCTACCTGTCGGTAGGACGGTCTTGATGACCACGCACAGTTGTTTTAGACTTGATGCGAGCTATTAATGGACGGTGATCCGAATTCCTTGATAAGTTCTGCTACCTCAAATGGTTGTATTTGGGCCCTTGTAGGATAGCACGTGCTTGTATTGATCGAGTACATTTTGTCTGTCTACACTGGGATCTTGATTATGATGAACGAACGGTGTGGACTGGTGTCGGCAATTGGGCACCGTCTTCTTTGACGGCGTTTACTAGACGCATATTTCGGTCACTTTCCTCTCCGGCTTTGGATGCAAATGAGCCTATTTTTGTTCTACTATTGCATGGGCATTGTTCTTATGATACTGAAGGATTTGACTATCGGTGCTCTTGCGAATTGTTTGCTGTTTGGCGTCACGTTTGTTATCGCTAATTCTGTGGTTCCGGCAAACTGACGGAGTATGTCGCACTAGCCCAGCTACGTCGGTTGGTTAGGCTGATGTTGGAGATCATGTGCAATGTTTGTCATGGTTGGACCTTCGAATTGACTAGCTGCCTGCGGTGTCTGGTTGTTGTTTTGCGTGTTCCTTACTGTTGGCCCCGATGCGTATGCTGGGCCGTCGCCGTCCGAATGGCCAATGCATCTGTTAGTGAGTTTTTTTTTGTTTTGTTTCTATACTGAACAAGATCTGATGGTTTTGTGGAATTCGGTGGATATTACTGCCGATGTTTTGTCACCCGTGGGTTGGGATGTCGTTTGCTCGCTGATCGAACATGTCAATCCCACCCGTCGCCCTACTATCTCATTCGCCCCGGTATCGCCGGTTCCGATTCACTGGACCAGCCGGATCCCGGATACCGATTGGGCTTGTGTGGCACTCTCGTTCTGTGATCCCGGTAAACTGAGTAGGCGTGTCGCACCAGCCCACCTACCTGTCGGTAGGACGGTCTTGATGACCACGCACAGTTGTTTTAGACTTGATGCGAGCTATTAATGGACGGTGGTCCGAATTCTTTGATAATTTCTTCTACCTCAGTGGTTGCATCTTGCCCCGTGTATTCTGCGCGAGTTCGCATTGATTTCAGCACCTGTATATGTTCGCTTGGGCTTTGACTATCTATGTGCGCGTGTTGGCTTTTGGGCGATAATGGGATTGGAATTCGGATGGTATTGGGGTTGTTTGAAATGTGTTGTTTCTAGTCTTTCGTCGTTTTTTCTCTTATTTTTGTCTTCTTTTTGCTGTTTTTTTTATTTTTACACTTGTTTCTCTCTGGTTTTTCTGCGATCGGTCGTAATGTCGTTTATTTTGTTCGCTTCTTTTTAGGGTTCGTCAGTAGGTGGTTCATTCGGTGTTTTTGGCCGTGTGTTACCTGAATATACTGCTTTTTTGTGAGTTATTTCCAGTGTCTATTCGCTCACCGGGTCTCGCCACTTACCGTTTGTCCTCTCCGTGTTGACGGGCTTTTGATTTCATCTGGATTGTTGAATTAAGTCTGCAGTGAAATGAAGTTGAGTTCATGGTTCTTGAACTGAGAACTCTGTCCGTAGGTAATTTCTTACGAGCTTTACTTGATTCTCTCATTAGTATCATTAATTAGTTTCGTGCTTCCAAGATTGTCTCAGAATATGTAAAGAACTTCGAGACAAGGTAAATATATTGAAAACTGGCTTCATTTGCACTCTAGTTGTGAAAGGTCATCAGTGGGTTGGTATAGGAGAAGGTCACTTTTTGATGCAGCTGTATTTGGATTTCATCCTGCCTATTTTTACCGTCCTTTTTTCGCTGTCTCGTTATTTGCAGGGATTCTCCACGCAGCTGACGAGCGCGATTTCAAGACTGCCTGTTCTTATTTCTATGAAGCGTTCGAAGGTTTCGATTCAATAAGTTCAAACCATGCAGTTGATGCACTGAAGTACATGCTTTTATCGAAGATTATGTTAAATTGGTGAGTAGAATTCGTATCTGTGTGTGGCGGGGCAACCGTCCGTGGATATGCAAGTGTGAAATGCTGGTTGAGGAATCCAACACGGTTTTGTCATTGATGATCGGTAACTAGGGTTTGCCTGGTTCACGCTTATTCCAGCGCAGTAGTGAATCAGGATAGGTAGGTTTGTAACTCACATTTGCCGTTCCGTAAGATTTACTTCATATCATGCTACCAGATCACGCCGTTCCCATAATCACCATCGTCGGCATCAGGGAAAGCAACATCAGTCTTTTCACTCATGCTCCACCGCCATGCGACCACGTCTGTCTCATTATATTTGAAGCCTTGAAATAAAAAGAAGAAAACGGTGAATGAGGAGTGGACCTGGTGCTAGACTATCGCGGGCATTGTGAGGCGCCTACACTCCCAAGCGCTCAGTCAGGCAATCTGGAAAGAAATTGATATCGACTAGTTGCCATTTCTTTCAACGTCTCCAGCCAATCTTGGGAACCCGGAAGACGGAGCGCAGCAACTAGACATAACCTCTTCCTAATCTCTTCGACATCCTTCTGCCATATCGCAGTTCGCGTTATTCTGAAGAAGGCGCAGTAGAAAGTTTCGGCATGTGTAGCCCATATTCGAGCCACCGCAGCTGGTAGTGATAGGGCGCGACTGAAGTATCTGCTGCTCAAGCAAGTACCTCTTTCTATTCCCAGACGCAACTACATGTTTCTGAGTGCGGATACTATTGGTGACTAATCCTGCACTAGTTTCGTAACCCATTTTTCTCGTGCTTACCCATTCATACCAGATTTTTGGTAAACTATCATTGTGGATTTACCCTTCATGGGTTTATGGATAGCTGTGGTTTTTTTGAGAGTATGGTTACAGTATGCTTGTCCGTGGCAGGATATTTTGTATTCTTGATATGGGGCCTCCTTCGATTTCGATATTCTGCAAAACGCTGCTGGAAAAACTGGGCACACCGAACTAAATTTGATTTCGACTATATGTAGTCGGGGTAAGACAATAACTGTTTGGACAGAAACAACCGAAATGACACTCAAAGCAAATAACACTAGAACAAATACCTTCGTCTGTTGACGGTTTGTGTGTCGAAAGACTGAAACTGAAAGTCAGAATACTAAGAAATTTCGTGACATTAATTTTCACGAGCCAATAGAACGTGGTGAAATCACAGCAAGCTAAATTTTAATATCATAGGACTGCAAGCCTCATATCAGCCAAACAATCACTGAAACTACTAGTTGGTTGAATTTCATTAAACACAAAAAAATTTATACGATTCCAACTTAATGATCAACGAGTGTTCAAGACCACTGGTGATTCTCAAAAACATTATATTTTCTCTAAATTTTAGCCCTGAAGAGATACCAAACATATTGACTGGGAAACTAGCTCTAAAGTACAACAGTCCTCATCTGGATGCTATGCGTGAAGTGGGTCTTGCTGCAAAGAACCGGTCATTGGGAGATTTCCTAGCTGTGAGTCGATATCTTCTTCCACGTTTTCTGAACCACTTCATTGAACCATTTTTTTTCTGATCATTCCAGTACATAACTAAGTGTTTTTTTTTGTGTAAAACCGACGAGTTTGTCCATTTCAGTTGAGTTGAATCTTCACTTCCGGCTTTCTAGTTGTAGACAGTTTACGTCATACGTTTCTCAGTTCGCGTTGTCTCCTTGTGTCGTTATCGTTCTGCTAGCCTTATCTCACCGACGGTCCAACAGTCAGCTCGTAGCTTGAGGGTCTCTGTGGATAACTTCCGTCTAGGACTCTTGATTATCGGTCCGATTAAGGGATTCGCCACTCTGTGAACTGAGTATCAACAGTAGGAAGGTTTTCTCGATGAAAATTTCCGTCTTCTGCGAATGTGAAAAACTGCTCCCAATCTCGAACTCCTCAAGTGATGAGGAATTGTGAGGGTCTCGTACACAGGATCAACGACTTTTACTCAAAGCAATGCTGGTGCACTATCCCGCCAGATTATGGGTCTTTATGGGACGTGGCCTGGTTTAGCCGGTAAGCCACTGTACAATGCACACACATCACACGGTTCGTTGAAGTGGGTCACAAATGTAATACAGATTAAAGATGATGAAGCCGGAGCGATGTACAAAACAAGGAGCGTTGACTCGATGCCCACAGTTGCCAATGTTTTCGTTGTTATCATATCTTTTACTTCACTTCATTTAGGCTAATTGGATCGCACTATACAGGTCCGCCGCACTGAGCTAGATGGCTCAAGTGGTTAGAGCGCAAATTTACTGACCGGAAGGTCCGTGGTTCGAACCCAACCTCTACCTCTTGACCTCCCCTGTCTAGGCTTCGGGCAACCTGGGAGTATCCCAGCCCTCGGGCAACCTTCGGGTGGCATGGCAACCGCCGCTTGAGCATCTCAACTACACACCATGTGAAGCGAAAAATCTCACCGTACACTCAGACAACCGGCTGTCTGAAGCAGCCGGTTGCCACCAAAATTCTCTAAAAAGCACTATACGATTCATTTTTGTTACCTCTCCTCCTGGAACCATTTTAATATCCCCCTAAAGATGGTTTCACGAGCAGAGTAACGTATCTTCGTCGTGGAATGTATGGGGAAAATAGTGAACTTAGTTTGAGTTCAATATTGACGGAAACTCGGGGACTGCGCCCACCTGATGTTGTTAGAGTTTCCAACAACCATTTGAGTGGTGTGTTATGTCTAGATAAACCGTGATTTTTACGTGAACTTTCAGCAATTTCCTAATTTGTGGCTACTGTTCCGCGAACGACCCATCTATTCTTTGGTGCGATAATAAGTGAACCTGCTGTACCCAGTTCTGATAATTACCATCCGTCCCAATCAGAAATCCCGCCAATGTACTCTACTACTGCAGATATACTACACTATACCGAGGTATTCAGATCCTCCAATGCGTTCTTTAGTATATCTGCTTTTGTGGTATTAGTGAGACAGATGCCTTCATGTTATCTTCGGTTTATATTTGGAATTGAGAGAAGGAGGAAGCTTTTTGTTTCTCTACCGAAGTTTGTGGGATGAAGTGATCTTCTTTTGAATACTGGCTGGACATAGACTGCATAGTTCAAGATAGCCCACTGGTTGAGGTGCAAACTTACTGACTCGAAAGTCCGTTGTTCGGACCAAACTTCTACATCGCAACTGCTCCTGTGGCAGCCTGGAAGTAACACCCCTCTCACTTTTTCCGGTTGGCCTGTCTGTTCGGCGCCAACTATTATTATATACTGCGCACTTCTTTTTTCTCTGCTGTTGTTTTTGGCTGTCCCAGTATTTTCAATGCAACAACCTTTCCTTGCATAGAGGGTTGACCTCTGGTACACGCATCTTGTTTGGTATTCGCCGTAAATTTCCACCCATTCTGACGTGTTTGTTCGATGCAGGTCCGAAACAAATACCCAGTGGAGCTGTTAGAGGATCCCGTGGTCAGTCGTCATCTGAACTGCTTCTACGATACCCTCTTTGGACAAAACCTGCTGAAGCTCATTGAACCATACTCACGTGTGCAGATTGGCCACATTGCAAAATTGATCAACTTACCGCTGGTATGTTTATTCTGCTGGTTTTGAAAAAATGTGACGTGTTTTTTATAAATATGTAGAATAAGCACAAGAGACTAATATTGCTGTAAATAGGTTACCTCTGGAGTGTGATGGAAAGGTTTAGGCTCTGTGAATCTTTCAATTATTGTCTGACTGCTGGGGATTTCAGGGCAAGCATATCGATTAAAGCTGTTTCTTGACAAAAGCTACCCTTGGTGGTCAAAATGAACCTTTTGAAGCAATGTACCTGATATGCATAGTCTCGTAAGCATTATTATGGTCATATTCGTCGCTATAGAACTGGGTATCTTTGGCTTCTTTGTTGCGGAAAATGCACCCCCCCTGTGCTCGCAAAACTCTTTGCTTTGACTAACTTCTAGGAGACAAAGTCCCTGAGTCCAACCTATCCGCTGATGTGGTGATGAGACGTTTCAGTTATATGTACCCTTGAGCATTGACAACGACCACAGCAGACTATAGAGTTATGCAACTTACAGACTTACCTATGCACTCTGGGAACATCTATTCGGCCCTTGGCTAGCTTTTCTAGAGCTTCCTTAAATGTCCCCGTTTGTCTATTTTGTCTGTTTGTTCGAACTGTTGGATTTGTCACATCATCTTAAAGTGTGTTTTCCCTTCTCAGGATGTTGTGGAGAAAAAATTATCCCAGATGATTCTGGACAACGAGCATAACGGTACGTGTCCTTATCGTTCACTCTAGTTGGTTGTGCTGACAATGCTGTTCTTTTGGCGATTTATGCATTTGATTCCCTATGAGTCTCGCCTTGTGATGGATAATAGACACTGAAGGCATTCCATAAAACAGGACTGTAACATGCTCGCCTGATTCAAGGTCTAATAGACAAACCGTCGTGGAAATCTGGCAGCGGATGCTGTCATTCCTTTTGGATTTGTCCTGGTTTTCAACGTTGTTTGCAACCGTCTGGCTATACCCCCTTGCTTACGGTTTGTTATGCTCTCTTCCGGGCAGAACGCTTAATGCCTGTCCTTTTATTTATTCTCTCTAGGCATCCTAGATCAAGGATCTGGTGTACTGGTTCTACGTGAGCCCCAATGTGAGGGTAAAGATTATCCTCATGCCCTCGCTGCTGTCCACTCGCTGAATGGAATCGTGGATATGTTATTCCAGAAAACAACAAAACTAAAATAACTTTCCGTCGCCGATTCCTGTTGTGAACGGTTGATTATCATCTCGTGTTACCTGCTCAGTACAGTTCTTCCTTGAAATCCCATTTGTTTGGTTTTCTACCTTTACTCCCGCGGGGTATAGAAGGGATGTCAACTCCATGGCCATGTTCCTATCTCGCCTCTCTCCATTCTACGCCGATGGAGATTCAGTTTTCAAGTTAATGTGCTACTTAGCAATATACATTATTCGCCATTATGCTAGTGGAAACACAGCAATTTGACCCATTATCTAGCAGCGAGGTTCACCTGCCTCGTTCACTAATACCAGCCAGTTTTAAATTACAATCCTTGGTTCACACCAAGGTGACTCCATCCTGCCTCAGTCGTCCCAACCCAGGTTGTTACGCATTTGTTGTTGTACTGCTTAGTTAAACTCTTCCGTTAAGGGATAGATCGTGTTGGTCTGAAAACTAATATGTTATTAAGCAGTATCAGCCTAATTTACTTTTAAGCGACTAGTTCCTGAGACGGCAATAAAGGGCTCTTGGAGTGCCTCGAGTAGGCTCTACTACTATGATTGGTCGGCTGCTAGATCCACACACATCACAATCCAATTTTGGTTCCACTGAGGAACTTCATAGGCCACACGGAGACCAAGTCGTTTCATTTGACTTTAGACCTTGAGATGTCCTCGGATGCGACAAGGCATACACGAAGGAGCTGGTAACCATCAATTTTTGGGGCCGACCACTTGTCTTTCTGTTCGTACTGCGCATGTCGAAAAGTGATGCTTTCCGCGCCTAATTCGGAATGACGCAAACAGAGGGGGGGTCCACCCCTGACCTAGCAGAGGGGCTTCAATGCTATTGCGAAAGGTGTGGGTGTTGTCGGTGCGACGCCTTCAAGGATGGGGTTCGCTGATCCCCCGGTGCAGGCTTGGAGACGCTACAATATAGGACTGCTAGTCGATGTCGTTCCTCTTGTCAGTTTTTATCCAGATTTTCTGGATGAATGCCCGGAGTTGTAAGCATCTCGGAATGGTTGGTGGTCTGGTACTAGCTCCCTTTCCCATCCACTTTCTAAATTTCTTGATAATAAGGCTTTCGAGTGGATTATGGTTGTGCGGCAGCGAGGCATCAGTTTTGAACACTGCTGTTGTGCTTCCGATGATTGTGTTTGACTGGTATTGAACATCGGGACACTAAACAGTGGGAGCGGCGTGGGAGGGTTGTCTGATTGTCCTTTTTAAACGAACTGTAACTGATTCTGAGGCACAGTCAGCAGCTAGCCACATGTATCTGCCTGGAAATACGTACGGTCTTTTGCGCTGCTGATTAACTTTCAACGGATAATCACTCATCAAGGGCCGTTCATTTATTGATTGTCACGTCGGCCGTTGTGTAACGCGCCAGACCAAACGACGTGGTGAACGCTGTTTTAAGTGTAATGCAAAATGTTCCCCACTAAACTTCTCAGGTTCGGAAATGAGAAACCACGAAATTGTTTTTTAGATAGGTTTTGTATCTCGTCTACTACCGCCAACTGCTAAACACTAGACACATTGAGTGATGGAATACCGTCCAAATGGTGGTTGGTATGGTCGTTTGTCCACTGTGGGTGGGCCGCGCTCTATTTCTTCATACGTGGGTTCAAAGGGCATCCATAAGCCACTTGTGGCTATTCAGATTACCGCAAGTTTGCATAGTAATGGGCAGAAGGTTCGTCCTATCACGACCACTGCGGCCGGTATTACTGAGAAAGAACTCTCCATGGTCACCTGTCATCTTTCGTGTATCATTCGGAGTTCAAGATTGCTCGTTGGTCAAGATGCGAACTTACTAGCCAGAAGGTCCGTGGTTCGAACCCGACCTCTGCATCTCGACTGCTTCTGTATGGGATTGGGCAACCTGGCAGTATCTCAGCTCTCCTAGCTCCTTCGAGTGGCATAACAGCTAGGTGCTGAAAAGATGCTGCAGCTGAACCGTTTATTTTCTCAATTACCTTTCGAATTAGCAAAGCAAGCTCATGGGTAGGGTAGTGGGTTTTCGGCACGGCCAAGCTGGAGGTCGGACTGCAAATTTCCCCTTCTGTTACGACGAATTGGAGGTAGTTTTGCATGTGACAGTGCATTGAAGGTTTCCGAAAACTGACCACAAGCGCTCAGTTTGTGGTCGTTTGGAAAACTGGTTCATCGCTATTAGTGATAGACGGGGGTCGAGATGGCCCAAGGTCCGTGGTCTGCATCTCAACTTTCCCTGTCTAGGCTTGGGCGACCTGGCAGTATCCCAGCCCTCGTGCTTCCTTTGGGTTGCATGGCAGCCAGGCACCGGCAGGGTGTTACAGCTGGACGATCAGTGATGAGCATTGTGTGCGCTTACATTACTTTGTGGTGGAATACTTTGGACAAACTCCAAATAATGAAAACATTATAACGTGGATAACCTACAGAGTGTCTATTGACTACGAAGATTGCCAAATGTGACCCATAAAATTGGTGTTTACGCTTACTATGACCCTGATCACAACTAGACAGCGATGATTCTCACACTGCTCATGAGATTCCTTCATTGATGGGTAAGGAAGTCCGTGGTGTGTTCAGGTCCCATTCGGCTACCACAGGCATGGCACGGGAATGCAGAGGCTGGGGGATTCTAGTTCTTACGTCCTCTGTGAATGTCCGAGACATCGTTATCTGTAACGGCCTTCCGCCAACTATCAGAATCTCGCTAGTACTGTTGACGCGCGGTTTGTGTGGGGAAACCTTTCTGGATTGACGCGATTGACAAGCTCACCACCAGAAAGGCCTTTTCGGATGCAATAATGGGGCGTCTTGATCAGGCATTTGATATGATCTTTCGGAATCCAAAAGACGACTTACCGAAAAATGAAAGCCAAGGGAATTAAACGAATCAACTGAGAGCAAAGTTCGTACGACATATCGCATACCTTGTTCTGTCATTCTGCCAACTGTTCCGTTTACATTGAGGGACGCAGCACTCTGTAATGTGCTACGCAGTTCTTCGGATAAACGCACTTACCATCTACATTATCGTCCCAACTATTGAAGGGACAGTTAATTGCGCTATAGAAACGACCAAGTGATTCGGGTGGATTGGTTACAAAAGGGCGAATCGGACGCCCTGGTATGGTTTGTACAACAGTGGTCGAATATGATGTGGTTCGGGTGTTTACTGAGAGTAGGTAAGACGTTCGTGGTTGTCAGTCCTGATAAGATCGTCTTTTTCTAACATGATTTCAATACATTAACTCCCCACGCTAGGTGCAGAGTATCTCTAGTTCGTTTCGAACGCTATCCTTGTTGACAGCACGGTGCATCGGAGTGGTTGAAAATTCGATGTTACTGTTCATTAGGAACTAACGGGTCCTGGTGCCTTCCTAACTTACTTATCCACCCATCCGGTGCCAGTATAGGGTAGTACAGTTTCATCAATTCTAAATGAAATGTGCACACCTCAGGTCGACTAAACAAAAACAGACTTGGAGAAATCGGATATCAACCGGATAGCTCAGTGGGTAGGGCGCCGGAAGGTCCTTGGTTCGAACCCAACCTCAGCATCTCGATCGCTCTTATCTAGGCTCGAGCAACCTGACATTATCCCAGCCCAGGAATGGCAACTAGGTACCGGAAAGGTGCTATAGCTGAACTAGTTAGAAAGTGTACTTTCCTTGGTCTCAAAACTTAGCAAGAGGTGGATGAGGACAGTGGTCATTCTATACAAACAGGAATAGTGATACTAATCATCAGCGTACAAAATGCCACATCACGAGGGTTTTCACGCAGACTGGGGTTTGGAATAAACTATGACGTAATGCGCTGAAATGCTACTATGATTAGGAACAACCGTAATCTAATATGCATGCTCAAAATTATATCAGGATTGTGGTTTGTAGAAAGCTATGTGAACGCTACCCAGAATTATAAGAGGATCATACTTTTGCTCAAATCGCGATTATCGGTGAAAGTCCATATACTTTTTACATGTCGAAACAGTCATCCCGTTTTCAAGTTTCAGGCCTCTGAGTTTTTCTCAATGAGCGTCCTGCCGACATTCATAAACTCGTGTCCGTCCATTAGCAATGATTTTTTTAAAAAACCTCCCAAGATAGGCCACTGTTTACTAAGGAAGCTCCTCTCAAGAAACCTCCTTTTGAGTATCACACCTATTACGTCACATGTGATTTGATTGTTCAGAATAGTGTTTTATTCCAACAGTAGCATCCATCCAGTCAGGTGAGTTTATCAACTATTAGGTACGTACCAGCTGTTGCAGTTTTGCTCACAAAAAACGTGGGAGATATAGGCAAGTATTGGAGGTGATGGCATGCTCAATTAGGTCTGGAACTGGACTGCTGCGTATTATAGGCCATAGATTTGATACACGAGCGCCACTGATTCTGCGATTTGGTCATGGCTGTCAGTGTCATTAACCATTGACATGTTGAGTCCCGGCCTCATCACCCAGGGAAGCCACAGTAGCTTACCTGACCCAGTTGACTGGTTAGGGCTAGCAAACTTCGCTCCATCCGGTGTATAAGCAATGAGAGAGATGATGACGCGCATAAGGAGGTAATCAGTTGTGGTAGCCTTTAAGGATGAGATAGATTTTGAAAATGTGGAAGTATTAAGGTGACAACTGAAATTCACACTCCAGTAGGATCAGCTGGGCTGATATGTAGTCGTATGAATGTATCAGCGAATAGCAGTTTTCGGCAGATCTCGAATCTAAACGGCAAAGTTCGAACTGACTAAAATCCATGAAATCACCCTCACATCTTCACCACACTGCACTGACACTTACTTGGCGTTTTCGTCTCCGAATGTGGCCTTTTCATGAGTAGTATAGTCAGAACAGTAATAAACAAACCGACCGACATTATCATTGACCAGAAGGTAGTTAAATGCCTACAGTTCGAGGGTGGTGTTGGAAGTTTGGTGACTGATTGTCCTCACCAGACAGCCCAGCCAAAGCAGGACTAATCAGTAATGAGACTAGTCTCAAAACATGAACATCAAAGTATTCCCTTAACCAAGAACATGACGCCTACGTGACGGTAGTTGCCACGGTCATTCCTGAAGACTTCGTCCAATAACCTAAGAATAGTAAAGTGGTGCAGTAGATGACTCTTTGGGATTAACGAATGTTTTGTCATAAACTCCCTGAGTGCTAGCCAAACAATTCTGAAGCCATCTTTATGTAAGTGGTTTGTTGAGTTCACTGTCCAGTATGCTAACAGCGTGACAGAAATGTGCGCAGGAAGTCATCCTACAACCATTTTATTGAATGTCTGACGATGGTGCATGCCCGTCGCGGAAGGCTTTCTGGTAACTCTTCAACTGCATCTTCCAAGGATAGATTCTGATGTTGGACGGGAACTTAGTACATAAAACCATCTCGAAAAAGGATCATCTCATCATCAGCTGGGAGATCTTTTCGTAAAAAAAATGCGTGTGAAACATCACCATCAGGTTTCGGTAATATCATTTGGTAGCTGTTCCACCTAACTGTTCTCATATATCCGTAGCCATTACATAAGTGTTAAACAAGTTTCTGATTTGGAGGAATAGGATCATCCATTCAACTCTGCACCAGAATGCCTATGTCATCTTGTCAAATGCACAGTGACCTACCTCCCGACCTTGGCTCTACTCTTAAAAATCGGGCAGTATAGATCACCTCTTTTGACGCGTACGCAAACACATATTTAGGGTAGTCATCGTCGTCATACGTTTTTAGGACTATACCACTGCACAATTTTTCCGTATAGTGACAGTTGAACCGGATCCAGCCGGGTATGGTTGGGCTAGCATGTGAGGCAAATACAAAGCGAGGTTGTCATCTACTCGGAGTGCAGCCGATCTTGGCGTCCATTGAATTCACCCCGGGAAACTTGGTTTGCTGAAGTACGGTTTTTACAAGTGGCGTTAAAGCAGTTGAGATCAACTCAATTGCAACAATACTGTTTCTCCCTGGCCTTCATCGCCTAATTCTTGAATCTCAAGACTGTATGTGACCAGTCTAAAGCACGGTCTCTTGAGACTGGAGAGTTGCACCCTTTCCTGCAGGCTAGTCATCTGGAGAACGATGCAGCAACCCATGCTAGTTACGGTGTCATGCAGGTAAATTAAAGATGATCACATTATCTCAGGAGACCGTAAACCGTGGGCTTGTGGAAGGTCCAGACGCTGCTGGATTGAGCTGATAACTATCATATAACGTGCATCATAAGGTGCCCCACCTTAGTCACCAAGGTGATAAATAGATACGGAACTGACATAGTGGTGCTCACTTGGTTGATCAAGAAATGCTTCGTCAAGGACTTCCGGTACGCATTCTAGTAGACCAAGATGAGCCACATGGCCCAAATTGTTAGAGTGCGATTTTTGTGCCCGGAAGTTCCGTGGTTCGAACCCAACCCCTGCCTCTCGACTTTCCTGCCTAGGCTTGGGCAACCTGGCAGTATCCCAGCCCTCGTACTTCCTTTGGGTGGCATGGCAGTTTGGCACCGAAAGGGTGCTCCAGCTGAACGATTATTATTAAGGCTGGCTATCCGACAGGAATAAAAGGGATCATTGTATCGGTTTTGCCCTCCCGATCGCGCCAAGGAAATGCTCGGAATAGAACCCTGTAGCATCAGTCCACGTCTTGATTTACTGCACCTTGGACTAACAAGACCAGACTTTCATACGCTGAAACGCTATACCTGGCAAACCACCATAAAGTAAAAAGAGAACTACCTGATAATATGGAGCTCGTTATTTCAACAACGGCCAACTTCGAGTCAGAGAACTGTAGCTCTCAAGACACAAGGTTATTATCTGAGCTGTTGAACATGGTGGTCGAACTAGCTGGATATGCATCGAGTGCTGTCGTGTTTGTTCTAATTGCGTTGGAATGGTCAACCGCCGGCGGACTTACAGTCATCCATAGGCGGGTAAAGCAAGGTCATCAGATCCGCTTTGGCTTTCCAAATTTACAGTTACCTGAGCCTGCAACGGTTCTAGAAGTGACTCTTCGTGACTACTGCCGTACGAAACCAAACCTAGAAGATACCTGGACAAACTAAACTATTCGGTACGTTGTGGCCGTGACGGTGCTAGAAGTGACTTTCAATAATCATCATCGCGTGGACGGAATACAATCGAATCATGGCTAACCGCAAAACATCGTGCGGACGCACTCTGGTTTCAGCTTACCAATAATGAAACTATCAGTTTACTCTAAGTTAACGCCGTTGGGTTCAGCTTCTTGTTTGTGCTCCCCATCAATGACCAACATTAATGCCCAGGATTTTTGAACTGTTAAGCTGCCAACGTAGCTAAAGGTATCAGGCCTAGTTGAACGATAATCCTATGGATACGTCTGGACTATCTCCCAGTAGTGCTGGATCGTCGGATTCCCCTTTGCATGCACTGTCGGGTTCAACTGTTCACTTGCTCCCACTTGGCGTGATATGTACTGACCACCATTTGTGCGTGCTGAGGGTAGTAACACTGCTCATCCTGTTCACTCTCCCGCCTTACATCCGCAGTTTATACCACATACTAGTCATTCAGGTGGATGCGCACGCGGCTAAGCTCAAACTGCATGTGGCATTACCCACTGTGTGCAGTCGTCCATTGACGTAATCCGACATGATAGGACAATCTGGATACGGATGTCAGCCGGCCATTTTTACAGCTGTAATAAAATAAATCGAGAAAAACTTTTAGAAAGCATTTATACCTGGGCAACGTTATTCAGTGCTCAGCTAGTACAATACCGGTCCTGAAAGAGGGAGAATGATGACTTAGAAATGGGCCAATCTAAGCTGAAGCAAAATGCTGCTGGACCAAGGATTGTAGTCACTAGCATATCTTCGCTTGAATATTCGAAACAAAGACGCGACCCTCATCGGACCTCAGAGGCACGCAAACACTAAATCGATGATGCTGCACGATATTTGTTGAGCGTGAATGTGAGTTGCAGGTTCTCTGTTGGACTTCCGTCCCCGCATACACTTGTCCTGCAACGTAGCTGAAGGATTATACTATCAATAAGCGACGATTCCCATCAGAAATCAGTTACAAGAACATTAATTTGTCCAGCTGGCTCATAAGACCGACGGAGTGAAAAATTGGTAGCAATGAAGTTATGGGATCAGCTTACAGTGCCATCTCTTCGAAAGAGATTTCGGCCTTTTGGCTTCGAGACCTTTATGGTTGCCATATACGGTTTCCATATACTTATAAAAAGTGCAGCGATGGTTTAAATCGATTTATTCTGTAGCGTACTGAAATCTCTTCCAACGAGTTAGAAAAGCTGAGTTGACCCAGTTTTGTCGCGTCCGTGCTTTGCACTCCCCGACTTCTGTACACCAAATGGTGAAATATCATTTATCATTATTCATTGTACGGTCACCGCATATACTTCGGTTGAATGGGTGATGGTCAAAAAAACTGTGGATCTATTATTTGTTCCCGGTTGAGACGAGAACTACGGAAGGCCCAGCCCTGTCCAGGCCTGAGACTTCGTGTCCAGCCTATCCAGCACCGCACAGTCAAAAGACGCGTAAGCACTGGCGGCATCATGGGCCTACTGTTATTGGCTGATAAGGCGGCTGAAATTTGATTGGCTGGTGCGTTGGTAGTGCTGTCTGTATGACGCTCTCCGACCGTCGCAGTAAGGCATACGATCGATAAGGCAGCGCGCCAAGCGCCGTGTCGCTCGATCGCGCTGTCCGCTCGCAACTTCCATTACGCCCTGTTAGAGTAAGTGTCCATGCGCTTTCTGACCCATTTTTGACTCGTTTGCTGACGTCAGGGAGTAGATCACATCGCCTGTCGGTCATAATAGTGCGGCGTGGTTGATTACTCAAGGTTATCAGTATAGCGTAGAGCTGAATTCCTGTATTAAATTGAGATTTGCTAGTCGATTGCATAGCCTCGTAACATCCCCGTCGAAAGCCAGTGGGTTACTCTTAAACCCGCTGCGTGAAAGGTGCGCTTTGTACTGTTGTATCAACAGCAGTAATTGGCATCATCTGAGACAACAAGAGCAGTGGTGCTTCGCTGCCGTACAGCCGCAAAATTTATTTATTTCCTCAAATTTCCGATGTGAGAAAAGAAAAGAGGGGGAGGACGAGATAACTAGTACTTGTCTATCGCGAGATTGCTGAGGTGTGTACACCTGAAGCAGTCTGGAAGGAAACAAACACCACGGACTAAGGTTGGATAGCCACCGCGGACACCATCCCGAAAAGCGGACTGTACTAGCAACACCCAAGCTCTTCATCACTTCTTTCAAATCCTGTCAAATCACACACCCATCTTGAAGCTTCGTCATTGTTAAGGAATAATTGAGAACAGCACCAATCTCGGTGTGCAGTGTTGCGTTGCACATCGCCCAGCCACCACAGATGGTGGTGTTGGGTGTTTTCCGTGACTGAACTACCTGGTGCACAACCACATCCGTTTTCCAATTGCCTTGTTACGAATACCTTGACACCAGCAACACCGGAATGCGAGCATCAATCAGGAGTTTGGCCGCGTAGAGGCTGCATCGGACACATCATCACACTGTCAGGTATGTGGGCGCCGCCACATGTACAGACGACCCAGAGTATTGGTAATTGTTGACCTCATGGGTGCGTTCGATTCTATCGATCGATCATTGCTGTTAACCACACTTGTTCAACACGGTGAGCATAATCTGAGTGCTGTTCTCCGTACCTCCTTCGGAGTAGCGTAAACCTCGAGGTGGACAACGTGGCAGAAGGGTGTGAGAGATTTCGGAGAGTTTGAATGTTGTTAGTGTTATACTGACAACGTATGACTTGGCAGAAGGGTGTGAGAGATTTCGAAGAGTTTGAATGTTGTTAGTGTTGTACTCCTTCCAGGATGGGGTCCCCGTGGCTCCGTCTGCGCGTGGCTAAATACGTTGCAAGAAGTGGTGGCTGATACCAGTGACATTCTTGCTGTCAGTTTCTTTTCAGATTGTCTGATTGAGTGCGTGGAGGTTTAGGCACCTCAGAATGTTTAAGATAGACCATCACTATCACCCCTCCATCACCCACCTTTATCTCTTCTTTCCACTGTAAGGCTTTGAGTGCAATTCGATGAACTTTTGCTTACGGCAATGAAGCATCAGTGTGAACACTGATATTGCCGTCGCTGATGATGATGTTATAACTAGTTGTACGCCGTACGTGGGCTGGGATACTTCCATGACATCATACTTACAGAGAGAACGATTATGGTATTCAGTCGAAATATTTGGCTCAAAAGCCTGACCGCAAGGCAGTGACGTTTGACGTAAGGCCTTCAGAATAGCATGCGGTATTAAAGAGCTGGTCGCCACACGTGTCCCAACCCCAATCCTGCAAGACCACGGACTCATTAAGACCTCTACAAATTGACCAACCGGATATGCGCCACCATCATCATTATCACCACCAGCTGTGAGTACCGCGTACTTGTCATATAGTGGCTTTAGCTGCCACAGTTTCGTTCACCGATGATTCGATGATATGAGTGTCACGCTCTCAGTATAGCTCAATGGGTTATGCAGGTTTGCAAACCGCTGCACCTTGGTAAGACCCAGTATCTCCCAGGATAAATGAGCTGGTTGCACTGGCTTGGTCACGTTCTCTGTACGCTAATTGGTCGACTTTACATGAGTGCCTTTTTCGCATAATCACGCTGAGTTCAAACGAACTAAGAGAGGTCAACGGGATCTTTTACCAGCGAACCCAGCCGCTGCTTGTTGCCGTCTCTCGTAATTGAGACTCCAAAACGGGACACATTAGTGGCTGAAGATATAAACCGACATGTGCCAGTCGCTCGCTCAGCAGCGCGCATGCATCCAAGCTGTTGCCACTAATGTATAGCTCCCCTTCCCGATCTCAGTGAAAATTCCACTGCCACTTCTGTATTCACGCGTCAACTATATCAGCTGCTCCCTCCAAAGCGTAGCTACACAGGCCCATCTTCGAAAATCGGCGTTGAACGAAACTTTGGCAAATATACCCATTGTACAACTGTAGTGGATTACAGCTGATCATAATCACCTCGTACCTTTCCTGACAACCTAATTGAAGTCTATGCAACTTTTGCATGCAGTTTTGTTTTTCAACAGTCGGAATCAACTGGTATTCCCGAATCTTAGAGTCACTTGTCTCTTGTCACTGTGAGCCTTCCGGATACAGCTGGTACACCGTCCTATAGGGCCTTTCCGATGGACTTTTTCATTGGGCTATGTCGTTTGTTATTCCAACTTCACCTGCTGCTATAGTTCGTCCAGGGTTGAAGTAGCAGTTTCCGACCCAGCACTATTTTATCTGGATGAGGAAATATCTTCGACACTTATCAAGGACTTTCGTCTTAGTCGCGTGCAACTCCAGTTAAGGCAGTACATTGCCACGCCTTCCGGACGGTTCTTCATATATATATATATANATATATAATCAATAGCGTAAAATCAGAGTTTAGCAATCATGCTTCGCTACCGTAAATCCATGATTCATTTGAAAGTCTGATGGCAATCTGGATAGAGAGTGATAACACGAACGCCATTGATATCGATCAGCAGCCATATCTTGCGGCGTCTCCAACCAGGCTTAGTGGGGATCAAGTGGTCTTCATCCCGGAAAGCGAGTTGCACTGGCAGCATCCGCAGACAAAAGTAATGGCCTCCCATCGGATGGCGTAAAAGCCAGTATTCTAAATATTGAGGCAACCGGTAGCAATGGAAGTAAACGCCTCAGGACGGCGAAGTCTGGAGTATGTATCATTGATAGTTGATAGACAGTGGTTATGGGTTTTAGTGTGGATATGGCTTTTGAACTAATTGGTTAAACATTCAGGTGGTTAGATAGCTTTAATCGGCTGTTCCCAGAAATGTTTGTAAAACTTTAACTTCATTTCAGACATGTTTTTCAAGTGGCTGAAACGTGCTTTACGTTGTCGAAAGTGGGAGAGGCGAGTCCTTTGAGTGTATTCTGGTAGTTCCTAGATGGCGTGGGAAACTAAGCAGTAGTCTTCCTTTCACTTTATACAAAGGATATGTTGGATCTTTGGACTCGTGCAGAATGTTTTCCATCTCCCAGATTTTGCGGAACGTGTAGAGTTCGTTCCGCAAGATTGATCCTGCTGGCTTTGGAAGGGTTTCCAGGGTCAAAACTCCCTGGCCTCAGCTTGGCCGTAACTCATCATCTGCTTTCTGAAGCTATAACTGTGCTACTGACAACGTTATCAGAAACATTTGTACATAGCCATTAGGTACCATTAATTAGGAAGTTTATGTCACATCGTGTTCATGAGTTCAAGGGTCATAATGTTTCATTCTCGATTTTTGCATACTTCGCCAATAAAACGGTCCTCTGAGAGACACGTTGAGCTAGCCATGGCTGTTTATTTCAACGGTTACTTTTTCGTTTGGAAGTCATTTGGGTTACCAAAAACGCTCTGTGCAAGGTATAATTCACTGACGAATGACTTCAAAGAAAATTCAACATGATTGTCCTTGTCACCGTTATTATTATTATCATTACTATTATTAATGCTATTCGTTGCCTTCAGACTCATGAGTTCTCCATCAGATACTGCAGTTCTTCAATCAGCGATATCTTCTAAAGCAGACTGGAACTACAATTCCTCGTCGACAAATGAAATTCAGCCGCGTGCGATCACCTCTTTCGAAAGCTACTTGAGTGATGTGGAGCCTGTTTTTGACCATCAGTTGTCTTGTTACACACCCGCTATTCCCTCGTGCACTGGATCACACCTCTCCAAAGACACATCTGATGCTCGTCAAAACCAGGGCTGTGTAACTGGCGAAGACTTACAACAGGAATACATTCCGCAGTCGATCGTGACTAACTGTTCACTGTTGCCTACAGCTGACTCTATAAACTATTTGCCTTACTATCTTTCCGACCGATCTATCGGTTCCAGCGTCCAAAGTCCTACGGATACTACGTCCTTAAATTCACGTTCTCCTACTCATGTCACACGTGTTGCTTCTACTTCGGATATGATTTTACCGAGTGAACCACTCGTGCTTTCTGAAGGATCTGTCTTAAGCCAGTCAACAGTTGCGCCAGACGAGTCACGTAGTCTCGACCTGGATCGTGTGTTCTCCGCCATCATCAACCCTGTTTCTGATATACACTTTAATCCGGCGAGTCTTGCAGTGGATCCACGGAATCCTGTCAATCATTGTTCATCATTATCGAGTTTTGTTAGCTCGTCCGGAAATTCCAATGTATCCGAAAATGTGGCTGGGTCGATGAACCTGGAACGGAGGAGGCATTTATCGGGCTTTCCTGACTCGAGTTTCTCATCTGCACTTTCAGGTTTGTCCGCTTTCCGTTTCAGCCGTTCAATTTCATATAGTTTCGATTAGTTGTGTGTGTATCACCGTGTAGTTTGGGCAGGTCTTTCCCAAAATAATAGCTTCAGAGGTTGGATTGGAACTGTTTTAATTCAGTTCAGTTCAGTAGCTATAGAGCTTCTACTAAGGATACGTTGTTTCCAACATCGACAATTTGGTTATCGGAAGATGGGAGAGCAGGGAAGGTACAGTCATGCGTTGGAGGCGATCGTGTAGTCAGTTAGTTCGTGTTAAATCAGTCAACATATTGGAAGCAACAAGAAACCGAACAGTTACGCACGGAGGGCGATAGCCTTGATGCAGGAGCACCGCCGTTTATGTGATTTAGTCACACCCCCAGTGCCATTAATGAATGGTCGGTTGAGTCCTCGGAGTCTCCATCCGGGGAAGCGGCAATTGTCAACCCAACTGAGATTGATGTATTGCCTCTCGACTACCTTCGTCCACCTCAGTTATTTCCACTCATTACAGGGCTGGACGGAAAGAGCTGTGTGATGTATACAGTCCTCTGGCATGCGAAGTGCATATCCTAACCAGCGCAACCTATGAATCCATCACGGCAGAGTTTCTCACTAGCATTGCTATTCCCATATCTTAACCATAACCGACCAATGCTTCAGAGATACGACAGTCAAACACGGAGAGTTTTCTTGCGTCCTCTACGCATACGGACCATATTTCCCACCCATAAATCAGTATGTCAGTATCGGGATACTGATGTCATACCGGCGGTATAAGTGTCAGGGATGGCAGACTGTCCTATCCTGGTTGTGACACATACTTGAATTACATCGATTCTGTATGAAGGAATATTGTGTTTACCAGAGGTAACGCAGTGTGTTTACCTCGTGACCAACAATCCTTTTTGACCAAACCGCTCCAATCACCAACCGATAAACCAAAGAGCATCATCCCCATTTATGACCACCAGTACATGTTTACTTTCAGATGGTAGCTGTGTACCGATCCAATATTTCCTGAACTGTATACGTGTAATAATGTACGGTCATGAAAGATGTCAGTTGTTACCATGTTCAGCGATCGACTCCCGAAAGCGGTTCCTAAAGCTTCCATTCTAGCGTAGGAAGGTCGTTGTGTGACATGCTTGTTTGCATTTTGTTGTCCATGTGGAAGTGATGAGCTCGAGATGATCCAGTGATTAAAAGTGAGCTTACTGGCCAGAAGGTTTATTATTGGGACCCAACCTTGGCATCTTGATTACTCTTATCCAGGCTTACTTAACTTGGCAGTACCTTAGCCTTCGTTCTCTTTTCGAGTGGCTTGGTGGCTGCACATCGCAAGGGTGTTATAGCTGCTCGACTACTTATCTATCATTATTTGAAAGATAAATTTCCTTCGGTGATTTCATGGACAAAGCAGTCCAGAATAGTCGAGGAGATGCCTGGACCTTGCATCTATGTTCTTAATGGCGCTTCATCTCTGCCGACTAGTTACCACTTGCTCATGGAGTTTCCCGATAAAACATATCCATTTTCAACGGGTGTAACTTTTAGTCCCGTTGCACTGCTTAGTGAGTGTTTTTAATGAGTAGAGCCTAGGCCTGTGGTATCCCCAATTGGTTCGTCACTGATGTTCCCGTTGTGTCACTTTAGTTTCTTCCCCTTTTCATCCACCTTTTCTATTAGGCAGTTCGTTCGGCATTCGGAACCGTTTGAGTTGGCTGGATCGTATCAGAGCACAAAACAGGTATATTCTCTGATCGCTGCACCTTCAGGACAATCCCAACAGCTTGGGTCCGACCAGGATGTTTCAGGCCGGTGGTACATATAAGCGCGCACATCCTCTGCAGAGCAAGCCACCCAACACCGCCACATAGCTATTTTCCAGTACGACCCCTTTATGGGGCCAAGACGAGATGTTCTAGAACACTTTGTCGTGTGGCTACATTTGACGTCTAATAAAAAAGCCGATATAAGGTTGTCAGTCCAGTTCGCTTGAGGAATCTGGTACTAAACGGCCTTTACCATAATTCAACCATCACTAGCCTCTCGGTATTTGCTTTGGCTGGAGTGCAACGGATACTGAGTTGTTCAGGTAGATGCTGGGGCAACGGTCTAGTCAAAGCACTCATGTCTCCTGTTTGGTGGGCCCGATCCGCCCATGCTAAGTCGCTTATCGTACAGGTAAATTGCAACTGATCACACCCCATGAGACCGTTAACCGTGAGGCATCCGAGCACGAGGTGATGATCAGGTCGACCGTCCTGCAATAGGACTAAAAATATCCGGAATCGACTTGGTGACCCTCATCGAAAACGGCTGGCTGACCAATGAGGTCTCCGTCAAGAACTTCAGAAACACGTTCTTCGAGATCAGTCACTCAACAGGGGGAAACCGAGATCATATCGGTTTCGCCCTGTTCGATCGCACTAAGAAAACGTTCGACAGAAAACCCTTAGCATCATTCTACATCTTCACTGCTTTTGAGAGTGGCAGACCGTGACAGTGCATACGCTCAAATGCTGTATAGATGACCGAAAATCACGAAACGGAACGACATTGTGGAAGATGATACAAACTAGGATTCGTCAGTTCAACAGTGCCCGACTTCGTAGTAGAGAGCTAAAGCATGTAAGACAAGGTTACCATCTGACCAAACAAGCTGGATCTGCAGTGATCGCAGTCTTATTTGTGGTGGCCGGATTGGATTAATCAGCCACTAGTGTTCGTCGAAACCTTGATGGGTAAAGTAAATTCAGCAGATGTACGCCAGCTTCGTGAATTCAGATTGATGAGCCTGCAACGGTGCTAGAAGTGACTCTCTGTGACGAGTGCCGTACAGATTAAAATCTACGAAGATGCCTTAGTACACTACTGTTCGGTGATTGAAGGCCTCGATGAGGCTAGAAGTGACTTTCAATAATCAGTATCATCATGCATGGGATCGATTCGAATCATGGCTAAGTACAGACCGCCATACGGATGCATTCTGGGTTTTTCTCGTCATTAATGTCGTCCCCGGTTGGTCCAAGGTGGATTCAGTTTCTAGGTTGTTCTTATTTGTGCCTACAAAGCCCCGCCTAAATTGATGGCATGTTCCGGAGCGTTAAGCCTACGATGGTACCAGAAGTGACTCTCTGTGGCTGTCGTGTAGATACAGCTGAGTAATACCCAACATATTTGGCGCTGCACGCCTACTCCTTTGGACGTGTGGTCTTCGGGAAGCTCTCACCACACTGTGTTGTCAGGAAAAGCTGTGCTCTTTCGCGTTTTCTCTTTAACTTCTTTGTTGATGCGATTATAGAAGACTCACTACCATCCTCTAATGCCTGTGGAGTCCCGGGACATTTGCTCGTACATATCAAGCAGGCAGATGACAGTTCTTGGGTCTGGCGCCGTCGTAATGCGGACAAAATATTATCATATATAATATAAAACCGATAATAAATAAATAAAGTGATTCTATGTCACAGTTTGGCACGCGCCTCACACCATTAAAATGTGAAGTGCTGCTGAATGGGCTCGAACCTTAGCCTCATACTTGCGGATGAGCCGATTAAGGTAGTAGACAAATTTGTCTTCCTGGGCAGTTGTGTTAGTGCCAGTGGTCTCGTGAAAGATTATATTTCAATCCGGCTTGGGAAGGCCCGAACGGCTTTAGTGAATCTGCATCACCTGTGGCGTAGGCGTAAAAGCACCTTACCCGTCAAAGGTCGAGTTTACAATGCTGTGGCGCGCTCCATATTGTCGTACGGATCAGATACCTGGCCGTTGCGCACTGACGACTTCAAAATGCTTTCAGTGTCTGACATTCCAAGCCTACCCAAGCATTACCCAAGTTTGGTGGGAACCCCGAATCGGCATCGTTTAACTACGTCTGATGGTTTTCTGAGGAAATAGCTCACCCAAAATAGATTAACTGATCACACTCCATGAGTTACGCATGCTTAGTCAAATGCTGCATATACCAGTCGACCGACTTCTTCGAAGAATTTTTTTCGCATAACCACGGGAATGATGGGAAGTAGTCAGGGGAAGTGAAACAATTACTTTTCGGGGAAACGTGAAAGTCATTACTGTCTCCCTAGATGGGGATACCCAGAAGGGACACATCAATGGTTAGAGACAGTCAGACATGGCCCAGTCGCGCTTTCAGTGGCGCTTATGCATCCAAGCTATTGTCTTCGGTGCATAGCTCTCCTCCCAACCTCTCCAAATGAAAGTCTACTGACAACTCTGTATTTACACATCAATTATGTCAGCCCCCACCTCCGATGCGCAGCTATCTACCCCGACTCCCCAAAACACCGGTGAACGAAACTGTGGCAGCTATAACCACAGTTTTTACGGCTGCTCCTGCTGATGATGATGATGGTCATACTCATGGTCCTCGAACACGTCTTCTGCGTGTTATGCTTCACCAGTTTTACACGGGTGCATGGCGTTGTCGTGGTTTCACATGCGGTTGAGGGAAAACCATGGCATGACACATTTTGTGGTGGCTTCCATCGACGTAGTTACGTGTGGCCAGGCAGTCCGGGAACGCATGCCAAGTTGTCCATTACCACCTTGATGGTGTGCTAGTGGGCTCGAGATAGCTCAGTGGTTTAGGTGCGAGCTTACGGACCGAAATGTCCTTGCTTCGAGCCCGACATTTGCATCTCAACTGCTCCTTTGTAGGCTTGGGCAAGCTGAAAGTATCTCATCCCTCGCTATCCTTTTGGATGTTAGCTAGATATCAAGGAGTGTTACAGCTGAGCGATTAATATTGCTATTATTATTATTGTGTTAGTGGGCCTCACTCGGTAGCATTCGCGTGATACTCTACTCAGTGAAATGCACTAGCACGTTGGGGCGAGATGGCCCAAATGGTTAGAGCGCGAATTTACTGACCGGAAGGTCCGTGGTTCGAATCCGACCTCCGCCACTCGAATTCCACTGTCTAGGCTTGGCCGACCTGGCAGTATCCCAGCCCTCGTGCCGTGTGGCCCTGCGTCCATTAGACGTTTCTGGCGTCACTTTGGAGGGGTCAGGGAAACCTCATTTTGTGCGGTATATGCTCCGAAGCTCTTAACACAATCGTAGACAAATGCCGATCTTACCTCGATTTATGTCGAATCGCACAGAGTACATAGAAATACATTTTGAAATGCTCGATATTCTGGTGAAGACTGCAGGTTCTAGCCTAACGATTTCATATTAGAAGTGTTCAGAATTCCCACTTCAGCAATCCCGTAGTTTCACTCACAGAATTATGGAAGTGATTGGATGGTACTCAAGATTTTTTCCCTTGTTTTGTCGACTCTGGGACAACTTTCTGCGAGGAGTGTATTAAAATGTGTGGGTCCTTATTTTGGTTGTGTTCTCCCAATGCTTCTACCTAGTCGTAGAGCCTTGCGCCGTGACCTTTGTTGCTTGAAGCTGGGTTCGATTTTGGGCCACAAAATATTTGGAGAAGGATGATTGTTGGTTGATACCAAATCCGTAGAGACGTTCGTATTACTCAGTTGGAATGCAACTCACGTGTTCAAAGAGACATGTGCAGCTTCAGTACCCTTTCGGTGCCTACCGCCATGCCACATGAAGGAGATACGACGGCTGGGATACTGCAAGGTTGCCCGAGCCTAGACAGGGGAAGTCGAGAGGCAGATGTCGGTCAGTAAATTTGCGCTCTAACCACTTGGTTCATCTCTTCATATGTCGAGGGTCTTTATATCAGTTGGGTATGGTATAGTTGGGTACCAGGCGCTGAGCATAAGTGACTCAAGTCGTAGGTTCTCAAGAATGAGGGCTACACGGGTCCATACAAGATTGTCACTGTTTCCAGGTTGGATCTATTAGCTGCGATCTTATCGGAATTGATATGCTGAATCAACAACAACTGCATGGGCGCACCGGAGCGAATTTTCAGCACTAAACAAACAGCTAGGCGCAACACACACTAGAGTTATAAACGTAAGGTTACATCAAGGGATGCAGTGGATGAATATACCAGATAGAATCGCGCCTAACAGGAAAGTAGGCCGAATGAGATACGAGTAGAAGTAGCATTAAATCTTTATTACGGCTAATTGGTCGAGATAGCTTACAAAATCCATCAACTAGAACCAATGCGACCATCATTCGGCGTGAGGTGCTGATTGTTGGGATACCAGAAAGGAACACCCGCGAAAGTCCACTTTCACATTTAGTATTCAGTTTAAGGGAGCTAGATGGAAAGACAAAGGCTTTCTTATTTTCAAGAAGCCAAACAGTAGTATAGCCACTGTGAATAGATACATGCCATAACCAACTTTTTGACGAGAGATATAGAAACTAGCTGTTATTCTGTTCTTTGGCGTGGACAATTGGGCTGTAAACGTTTTGTCACCAGTCAAAGTGACGCCGATAAGTTAGTGGTATGTATGCGACGGTATTCAAGATTGAGGCTACAGCGTCAAGCTTTGAACGGGACTGACAATAAGTTACATGTCTCGTGTCCTCTATTTCAAAAGGTCCTTCAAAAACTGCTTAAGAATTTTTGAACTGTTTCGGGCGTAACATTTTGGTATTTTTCGTCGGAACCGAGGATATGCCTACGGACCTCCAAATATTATTGCGTACTGGAGGCATGTGCGCATTAAAGAAGTCACTTAGTGTGGAATCAGAGGACAGCGTTACACCTTCACTAAGATGACGTATGGAACATCGGGACCACATGTCTTAGTTCGGGAGCATACGGGCCATCGATTGAGGCAATCATATCGTCCGCCTCTAAAAAATTCTCAGGCGCATAAAGCACTTGTATGTGCTACTTTCCAGCCACTGTTTTAATCGGACTACTCTTTAACTTATGGGAAGCAACATCACTTACAATAGTTAAAGGTACCAGAAGTGTAACATAGTTCCAAGTCATTAATGAACGTACAATCCAATTGAATGTCAGACTTTTTGGAAAGCCAGCGTGATCAGGCAAGCTAAGGAATTCAATAAGGTGTCAAAATCGTTCAAATCTGACTCTACATGCATTGCTTTTGTCCGTTAGTTTGATGTCATGAGTGAGGTGACTCATTGGTTCCCAACTTGTCAACAGTATTTCAGCAGTCTTTGTGACACCTGTATCTAGCTAGCCCCGTATCATTGGTTCGACAGAAAACGTCCACATGACAGAAATATCTATCCTCGATGACTTATCAACGAGGATTGACAAGTATAACTACCTCATCGTCTTCTGAAACGAGGTCATGCATGGCAAGGTCTCATAGGTTCTGAGTTCTAACGCAATAGTCTGATCCTAGTGACTCAAAAGTCAAAAATGTCCTATTTCCAACCGAACAGAGCCGTTCACCCCTGAGCTTCTCGTGTTATTCTCTTAAATTCAGACACACGATCAATGATGTCGCATGGCTGCTTCACTATCTCTGGACCTCCTCGTGCGAGGAAATAGGGGAAATTGATTATCAGTTCGATACGTAGCTGGTACAGTGAAAACTATTCATAGGCTAGTAAAGATTTTCCATTCCCTCGTTAACAATTCTCGCTAGGTCCTCGGTGAACTAAGTATCGAGGAACCAGAAGAGCTGAGAATGTTGGCTCATACTTGTCGAACAGCCGATACATTGACTGAAACTGTCCGTCGTTTGGGCCACGGGGATGGGCTTTTTCAAAGCACAAAGGCTATCTCTGATGGTTGCAACGTTGCATAATTCCATTCTGCATATTCTTTCTGCAACCGATAGCGTTTTCGCCTATTTCATTTTTCGTCTTCTAGTTAGTATACTATGTTACGCTGGGTTTTGTCCGTTTTAACGTGATGAATTTAAGTTCCAAATTGATTTCTACTTTCTGCTTTCCACAGATGCATCGGAATCTCTGAACAGTAATAGCGTGGATTACGTTTGCGAAAGTTCACACTGTCGAGATATCCGTCCGTCCTTTTACACAAAGGCAGGCACTTCCGGTGCGCACGCGCCTAGTTCACTTTGCACCATTCCCAGTGAGGGCCTCAGTTCCAGTTGTCCTGGGACATTTGATCGGTCACTGCATTCAGCGCCGGACTCATTGATCTCCACTAGAAGCATTCTATCCTCATGCGACAGCCAGATCAATGGGGTTATCCAGCACCAGTCCAATATGCTGGACACATATTCTCGTTCAGACAGATCAGTTAAAAATAATCACTTTACTGGAGTGGACCCTTTCACTTTTTCTCCATCAAATGAATCACACAGTTGGAACTATCAACAGGCTAGTACAACATCGTGCAATAAATTTCCTTTTGCGACCGAATTTCAACTCAAGCGTCAAGAGTTTTCGGTAGATAGGCCCGCGCCATTATCTGCGCAATCAGAATCCCCTTTTGCAGCCGACACCCGTTCATCCACAGAGAATGTGGGACAAACAGCTCAGGCTGGTGTTCTGCTGCGAGCCTGCGTTGTATGTGGAGACAAGTCAACTGGAGCTCATTATGGAGTATTCACCTGTGAAGGTTGCAAAGTATGTTGGAAAAGAATTTTCTCCGGATTCCGTTTTACTTAACTATGTTCACAACCACACTTTTCTGTATTCAGTTGGTAAATTACTTTTTTCAGCCACACTGCTCTACCATTAGCTTTACACGAACCCTGCACGTTTGATTCAGGTGGATTGAGAACGGCGATCTTAGAACCAGACTACAAGAATCAAATGCGTAGGAGTNTTTTTTTTTATAATGTTACGTTTTTGTAATCTTGTTTTACGATCTCGTCGTGCGAAATAATCCCAGTGAACTATATATGGGCGTGTCACATAGTTGGTCCCGTAGCTCTGTTCCCACGCGTGTTGTGACTGCCTAGAAACTGGCTACCTGATGTGTTTTATTAACACTCCTGCAACCACCTACAACTAACCTGTGTTTTAGCCTTAACATCCGTAGTACGGATGCACGAGAGAGAGAGATATATGCCAGTCCCCCAGTGGCTAGTATTTAGGCACCATAAAATGTTTTTCGTCTCGACAAGATGGTGTGACTCAGTTAACCGTTTTGAAATTAAATGGATTTGCTCTCTAGATTGCTCTCAATTGCCCTTGACGAACACCGAAGCCGACTACTTTAGAGGGACTGTCGGCTGTGCATAAATCGTCCGTTTTTCGGGACGCTTCCATTTTGGTGTATCGCACAGACAACCGTTTCGTTAAGTACTGTATTGACACTAAACCACCCAAACATTGAACTGCTTCAGCCATCACGAATGCTTTCAACTGGGTGCGGACTTTTTGAACTTTTCCATTTCACAAACATTTGA